CGGGGATGATCCGGAAACTGCTCTGGAGCGAGGTAGGTTAAGGGTTTAGGGTCTGGGGTTTGGGATTTAGGGTTAGGGTTAGGGTTTAGGGTTTAGGGTTTAGGATTTAGGGTTTGGGGTTTAGGGTTTAGGATTTAGGGTTTAGGGTTTAGGGTTGGGGGTTTAGGGTCTCACAAACGGTTCTGGGTTTATAGAGGGATAATGGAAAATGAAATGGGCACTGCTACAAGGGGTTTTAGGGTTTTATATAGGGTTCAATAGTTTAGGATTTAGGGTTTTGGGATGTGGGAAAAATGGGAACTACTATAATGTTTTAGGGTATTTAGTGACTTTGAGGGATAAAGGTTTCCAACATTTGGGATCCTTGTATTGGGGGCTCAATCATAAGGATCAGTATTATTGACCCCATTCTTCTGGAAGTACGTGCGTGATAGGTGTCCTTCATCGTACTGGTGGTTAGTAGGGAATGAGCGAATACAATCCCTACATATTCCCGCTGGAATCCCTTTCTAATGTATTCCCATGTTCCCTAGTAACCCTAAAACCTAATTAGGGAACATGTTGGTTACCAGTTTGGGGTTTAGGGGGTTTAGGGATGATATTCCTTTATTCCTTATCAGCCACCAGTAAGGCAAGGGAACCATCTAGAATCTAGCAGTCATGAGTCCCTCACACCCTAAACCCTAAAACCCTAAACCCTAAGCCCTCAAACCCTAAAACCCTAAACCCTAAAACCCTAAACCCTAAACCATGAGTGGGCCAATGGCAGGGGGGATGCTGAGTTGTGGGCTCCTTCCTTCAATGATTTCGTGGGGATGGGCCCAGGTAAAGGTTTCCCCAAATTAGGGGTACATTTTGCGGTCCCTACAATGAGGACTATAGTATATTGGGATCTATATTGCGGTCCCTCTATTTTGGGAAACTACCAGGTTGCCATTGCAATTGTGGTGTTAAACTTACTTGTATGACCAAAACCCAGACACTTGGCACATTCTACGTATTCTACAGATACCCCAGGGGCTTCGAGGCACAACTGGGTGCGGGCCAGCCCCTATCACAGAAGTCACGTTGAGGAGCTACAATCAGCAAGCTAGCACGGGGCCTGAACACAGGTTGATCAATCAGTCGTTGTATTAGGAGAAGCTCTGCATTGAAGGGCCAAGTACCCAAAAATCCCGAAAGGATCCAAAAAAGGCAACCCCCCCAAAAGGACCCCCATTGCTACATTGGGGAAACTCGGGGGGTATTGGCGGGGTTCCATTTCTTCGATCCTTTGAGGGTCTGGGTAAGGCATAGGGTAAACTGGACAGAACCATCTGCGGGTATGAATGAAGTACTACACAAATAACCCCAATAGAATCCCAGTTTCCATTTCATTTTCCATTTTCTTTTCCATTTGATTCTCCACTATAGGGCCCTAAACCCTATATTGGGAAGGGAAGCAGAGCTGCCAGGATCCTCGTGAGAGGGCACAGCTTTCAGTAGTCGTGGCAGCTGCGAGCTTCACTTCGCAAGGATATATGAGCTATAGTCTACACTCCTTAAAAGGGGGTTATATAAGGGACTACCATAGGGGTTATTAAGGGGGATACTAGGAGTTTAGACCATAGCTCATATGGTAGTTTCCCTGAATAGGGGGACCCCAGTATAGACCCCAACATACTATAATGGTCCTTTTTTATAAGGGCATCCCCAACATGTACCCCTGATTTTGGCAAACCCAAAATTTTTATAAGAGATGGAGAAGCTCCATGGCATCTTATGCAGGCCATCTTCTTTGTAGAGGTAGAGCATGAATGCCGGAGTATCCGGTCTAGAAGGCAGTACATGTTTCTTGGGATGCGCGTCGCATGCTCACAGCCACTCTTCCACCAGCAGCAGAGGCCGCCCTGGCAAACAAGTCCTAGATTTCACGTCTTGACATTTCGGACTTGTTGGCGTGTTGACAGGATGGGCCCAGAGCACTTGGAAAGTATGCTGAACAGAGCCCGCCATGAAGTAGGTGCAGGGTAATAGCTCTTCCATTTTCGTTTGAATTATTCCAATATAACCCCAACATATTCCCTATTATAACATAGTAGTTTCCATTTTTCCATTATCCCAACATAACCCCAATATACTACAACAGAATTGCCAGTTGTACCCAGCCAACAGATGAGCTTCTGTCACCTTGATGCTAGCAATAGGCGGAGCGGGCTGAAACCTTGATTATCAGACCGGACTTCATGACAATGAGAGATTTCTCGCTTCAGTGTCTGTTTGCCAGCGACAGGCTCTGGAGCTTTGTTGATAGTTTCCCAAAATAGGGGGACCCCAATATAGACCCCAACGTACTATAGTCCTTTTTATAGGGACCCGCAAAGAGGTACCCCCAATTTTGGGAAAGCCGCTTTTCTTTTCTTGCAGCCACCACATGTGGGTCTGGCACGTGCCAGGCATGCAGTGTTTCACACGTCGTTTCGTTGCTTGGTGTTCTGGAGCTACCCCCTACCCCACTCCCCAAGGAAAAGCATTCCTCCATCAATCCCCTAGAAGGTTACTCTTGGTGGGGGCAGTCCCATGATGCCATGATTTCTAGGCCGACTTAGCACCCTCGAAAACGGGGTAGCAAGAGGTTAAGCCTGCCTTCCCTTTGGTGTTAGGATATTGACTGCCTCAAGGATGGCCTCCACCGGGTATATAATGCCAAAAGCAGGTGATAGGATGATCTACATAGGCCCCCAGCAAGAGTTTCAACGAGAAGGGGAAGGGCTAGGCTGCAACGCCCCAGGGAGAGCGAAGTGTGGATTTCAGTAGATGTTTTAGCAGTGCAAGAAGCTGACCGTAGCGTGGTGAACAATGCCCAGACGACTGCTACTGTCACCGCTACGCCAACGACTACGACTGCTACTGCGGCTGCTGCCGCTGCAGCTGTTGCTATTGCTATTACTAGTACTGTGATGTTTAATTATACTCTTGCTATGATTATTACTACTCAGTCGGCGCGCCTTGTTTTACCTTTGGGTGCTGCGCGTGCCCTTTCTCCACAACACTGACAGGCGTGTGACTCATCGGAAAGGGGCACCAAGAATGCTGTCCGAAGAATTTCAGTGCTTCGAAGTTGCTCGATTCAAGACACCACTTGTGCCAGAGGACGCTGAAGGAGGGTTGTGCCGCGGAGGACCATCTGAACAAAACAACAATGGACCCCACAAAACAAGATCTGAATTGCCCGGACAGGGTCTGCAAGCTCCTCCGGAGAGCAGCCACGTAGAGGACAGTAGCGATACAAGCCATGCACAAAGGCACGAAATTCACAATAACACCATCCGTACCGCGTACCCCCCCACCCCCTTCAGGAAGCATGAAGGTGCCCTCAAAGGTGCTTTGTGTTTGGTGATGTGAAGGCGCCACTCACATTGAAACTGTTCTGTTCTGGCATCATAAATGGACCTGCCGAAAATGCTTTGAAAGTTTCATCTGGTATTTGTTTGGTTTTCGGAATGCATGAAGAAGCAAACATGGAAGTGGCGCCACAAAAGCAAGATGACCCGACTTAAAAAGTTTAGTGCCAAGATAATGAATAAACACCACCTCTTGAGGACACCTTAGTGCCAAGAGAATTCAAACCACCCCAGTACAAAGTTTGCAATCAATCCCACCCCCCCCTCCCTTTCTAGAGAAGCACTAGCATTTTTCAAAAAACCCTCAGGCAGAATAAGGCGCGCTGGCCTGTTGCTCTTGCTGCTGCTACCATCCTTATAACCGTTATACTTATCATAGCTGATTTTAACAGCACTGATCACTGCTGCTACTGCTGCTGCTGTCGTTGCTAGGAACTTCAAGACGCACAGCTACAACAGCAGGAGCTGTCTTTTCAATTATCCTCACAGTTGTCCATGGCCAGCATAGTGGGAGGATCAGGCTTGAGGCTTGACATTCACAGCAGGCAATTTACCAGGACCCTCCTAGTACCCTTAATCGAGGGGCACAAGGCCGCTAGTGGGTACTTGGGCCTACATGCAGCGTAGTTGGAGGGTCTAGGTAAGTAATGTCGGTTTACGTTTTGTGTACTAGGCCGTATGGCTAACAGAACGAATCCACGAAGTCATGAAGATGAACATGTTGTGAACCATTGTCAATTCGCACCCCTAAACCCTAAACGCCCTGGAGGTTGTATCCAAGTTTGCTCTCCTGCTTGAGGACCGTCCCTCTGCATAGTTGCCTTACAGCCTGGTATTCTCTGGGGCAAGAGACCAAGCCGTTCGAGGAGTCCAGATGAAGCTTCCACGCAATAGCATCAAGTCACACACGCATGGCAAAAATTCTGACATGAAATTACACAAGCTGTATTTAGGGACTTCTTGCAGCGCTTCTGGGCTCCTCAACCAAAGCCGAGCCAAATAGACAAACAAAGTGGGCATCTGGCCATTCGGAAAGGAACTTAGATTAAGTTACTGTAATATCGAAACCTAATTATTAGTATATACCCATATGATGGGCACATCGTTTGAGGCAGATATGTGGCCCGGGAGACTTTGTTGGCGACTTGTCGCCATTCATTACATCGGCTACGCGCCTGCGGCATGGTACGACGTAGCAGTGGGTGTTTGCAACTTCCAGCATAGCCTGCAGTCCATGTCAAATCCTCTTAAAGGAAGCCACGCGAATGAAGAGATTCCAAGGATTCTGGGAGTGGGGAAGTGCTGCCAGGTCTTGAGATGGCTAGAGCTTGGATGGCGCCACACGGAGCGCTTCGGTGGGCCTCTAAGCTGGCAGCAGATCTAATCATGGCAGGACCCAGTTGAGACTTCTGCGTGGCTTGGGGGTGGCCCTGAGGGCGCATGGGGCAGATTTTTGGGAAGGAGGAGCTTTTGCGGGAGTTTTGTAGGGTGTTTCCACGAAGGTCACGCCTTCTCTTCAACTTTTGCTGCCGCCCGTTGAGCAATCAAGCTACAATGCTAGACAGAGTCGTTCAGGTAGGGATGGTGGGCAATCTCTGGAGGGACCCTGCCCTAGTCATGCCGGTGAATGAGTCAGCTTTGCGAGGCTACGACCACCTCCAGAACCTGCACCTCCTTTTTGCGGTCGGGGACCGTGGCTTTCTGGCTGGCACGCGTCGCAGTGATTTTTAGCAATCATTCTCCGTTCTTCGGATTCAAGATCTAGATCTTGAAGGGCATAATAGGGGAGAAGGCGTTTGTGCCTCGTGTTGCAGCGGCCCTTGCACGTTGAGAACGCAGCTATATATATATATATATATGTACACATACACATACACACACACATATATATATATATATGTATGTAATATGCCTTCCTGGCATCGCCCAGGCGCTAGAGGAGAAGAGGACCAGCGTTTTGGCAAGGACGACTTGAGTTGCCTCAGATCCTTTGGGTTTCTAGTTACTTCAATCCCCAAACGAGGGTAGGTGCACATGTCCTAGTCAGTCACGGGGACTTAAGGTTTCCAGTCTTGGATTGGATGGTCAAAGCTGGGTTTGCAAAGTCGCCATCAAGTTCACTACCCATTCCCGAGAGACGCCTTTGAGGAATACTTGGTAGATTCCCAGAATAAGGGGATCCAAAGATAGACCCCAAAATACTATAGTCCTTATTATGGGGATCCCCAAAATGGTACCCCTAATTTTGGGAACTGCGACCCCCCCCCCCCACAGCCTCACCAAACTCTTCGGGTCAACTTTGCGCTCCACAATGGCAGATGTAGTGTTATGAACAGCCACACCGAGCCAGCAATGATCCCTTGATGCAAAGTTGCGACAGGATAGCAATGTCTGAAAAGGCAGAGGCCCCTCATGGTTTACGGTTTGGGATTTGGGGTTTTGGGTTCAGGGTAGTGGCACAGCTCCAGGTGTAAAAAAGGGTAGTGGCACAGCAGACAAACCTGGTTAAACAAAAGGAAGTGGCAGTGACACGTACACTCATCAGCGACGCTGCTGTAACATAGATCTTTATTTTGATTAGATTTGCACAAAGGCGCCTTCAGCATTTGGGTTTGCCCTTCTGCCTGTAGTGAGAAGTCTCGCAAAGCATGAATGATTCGATTAGCTGCAGCCCTGCCCTAGCATTACTACTTGTAGCAATAATGAGTCAACATAAAGCAACCATGACATGATGGTGGTGGGTTCGGGAGGGTTTGGCACGAGAGCCCCCGAAAAGGAAGCTCGCCCTTAAGGGAGTGTCGAGGAGAGCATTCTTGTAACGCCTCATCTACTTGCATCATATTCTCCAATATGTGCATATCCCAACTGCAGAACCTATCGTTTACCACCCAGTCTCGCTCACGCACCAGCAAGCGGTGGATGAGATGTAATCCTTTATTTAGGACCCTTCTAATGTTTCTGTAGACCCTATTCATTTTGGGGCCCCAACAGTGCCCTAAACCCTAAACCCTAAACCGAGAAAGTCTCATTTAGCTTCAGGCCCAGGCTCTTATCATCCCCGTCATCTTTTGCGTAGTTTTGCTGGTCCAGAAGAAGCTGGGGTATGCATATATGAGCTGCAGTCTAAACGTCTTAAGGGGGGGTGGGGTTATCTAGGGGATTATATAGGGGACCCTAGGGGACCATTATACGGCTGATGAAGGGGGATACCAGGATTTTAGACTATAGCTCATATATATATATATGTATTTATTTATTTGTTTATTTACTTATATATTCATATGTAGCACCCATGAAGTGAGAAACGCATGTAGACAAGCTCTTCATTCAGCAGCTGAAGCCATGTCAATTGCCTGGAGCAGGTCAAGCACAGTCAACAGGAACAACACTCAGCGTCATCTCATATTATGGGAACTGTTCGCAAAATGCAGTAAAACCAACACCGCCCTCCCTGGCATGTTGACTATTGGGTAGTGGGGGTTTTGAGCACTAGAGGAAGGAGCTGTGGAGAACCTTCTTCACCCTCAAGCCAAAATTCTTGAATCCTGACGCAAGCTGTCAGCTCTGGATTAAAAAACTCCCAAACTTTCAAACCCCTAAAAAGCCTCACCCATCAGTATATATGTAGGTATATATATATACATATATATATATATGTATATATACATCCTTATGTGATGCCTTGTGCAGGGACCTCCTGAACCCTACAGAGTCGCAGGGGTCTCTCGCAGTAGATTTCCCTGAGCCTGCGAGGTGGTGGAGTTTATGGCAACTTCCGCCGTGCTTGGGCTTAGTGCCAGCTAAGGCATCAAGGGTTTAGGCTTTAGGGTTTCGGGCCGGGTTGGGTGTTCCAGACCTACGAGCCCTGTTATACTGAAACTCACCATAGGATGTGCCCATTTCAGGAGTCGAATTATTATTGTATACAGATGGGGACCACACTCGGCAACATGAGAAAGAATTGCGATAAAGCATTTTCTTGGGGTTGAGGGCAGTAGTCCGAACCTGCAAACACAGCAGGACCTGCGAATAGAAGGGTAAGAATCAAAAACTAATAGGTCGACCCTAGAGCCTTCAACCGACTAGGATCCAGCAAAGTGCCCAGGCTTCAACAATGGCATGCTCCTACTTTTTGGGTTCATGGGCTATCAGCAGGGACTTGTAGTGGTAGTGTAGTTGCGACCTGTCGTGGGGGTTTAAGACATCTGTATGCAACTGCCCAAGGACTTCCAAATACACCAACTTGCAAAGGGTAGGTTTCAAAAGTCGAGCGTACCCAAAGTATATAGCAAGTACTTACAGGAATTCGGAGGAGCAACTACAACAACGCATTTGTTGTTCCTGGTTTCTCGTGAGAAAGAGGATGCGTGCCTCGGCTACCCCTCCCCACATCAACATCAGACCCGCTGAGGGCGCCTTCTCAGTCTCTATACGCTTCTTTTCGGAGGTTCCATGTTGCTCACACACGAAAGTGTTGCTAATCCCAACCCTATGAATAGATTCTCTAGGAGTGATATGATAGTAATGTTAGTCGTTGCTTGGTGCATTTAGGTAACCAAAGTCCCCTTTTCAGTTGGGGGGGCAAGCTGGGCTTCCTCTGCGCTGCTTTGCACTGATTCATCCACAGCGTTGCGGCCTAAGCCTTCATTCAGAGGGCTCATAACACGCGAGTTCCAAGCCCTCCGCATTGTTGTGTTGTGTGGATGAAGGATGTCTTGTTCAACCTAAGGCTTACGGCAATCTACGGCATACGGACTTTCACAGCCTACTGAACCTTCAGCAGCGTCCAAGAGACTTCTCGGCTCCAACAAAGAAGACGTCTGCAAGCGTCCTACACAAGGGCCTCAAGTCTAGACCTAGGCCCCTAGCAGTGTCCAAAAGGTAGAGCCCGCCAATAAAGCAGGCTGTACTGCCTTAGGGTAGATCATGAGATTTTAATTAGGTACCCCAGTAGTACCCTTTTGCTCTTTTCAGTTTGGGGTCTCCATATAGGAGCAGTAGAAAAAGGGTATCCATATTATGAGTAGGTTACTGGGGAACATCGTTAATACGGAGTTCTTCTTGGTGGTATATATAGAGGTTATATAGGGATAATGGACAAGGAAATGGAAACTACTATAGTGGGTAGTTATATAGGGTATATATAGAAGTTAGATAGGGATAATGAAAGAACATGGAAACTACCATAATGGGGTTATATAGGGTTTAGATATGCTTTGCCATGCTCCACGTTCGCCATGCCCGCGGAGATCTTTTTGCGTTGCCACTGGGCTTTGTTTTGTCAGTGCTTATCTGCTCGCATATGTTTGCCCCCTTAAGTAGATAGAATAAGGCTTTGGGTATATTATACTATCTACTTAGGGGGGACTATAGGCCCATGGGCTTGAAAGTGACTAACTTGAAGGCTGCAAAAGGAATTTAGATAAGGATGTCCCATCACTGCTCTGAGAATTGGCTTCTAGAATTAGGACGAAAGCTGACTGTTCTGGGGTGGCCGCATGGGGGTGGTTTAGGTGTTTATTTATAGAGGTTTATAGGGTTTAAGGTTCCTCTCGCTTAGTAAAGAGTCAAGAGCATTGGGTTGAGGCTTGGGCTTTAATACTTCAGCAGGCAGGCTGGGCAGCGTGGCCATTGGCTCCTCAGAAGGCGGCTAGCCGAGACGCTTTATCTATGGCGTTCTATGAGGCACGCTCGTGGACTTGAGGCCTGTGACATTGCAGTACCCTGTTTTCAAAGAATTTGATTTCATGTTGCGGATTTCACAACAGAAGCCTACAGTTTCCCTACTGAGACTCCGAGGCCCCTTGCATTCTGAAGTCCGAGGATCCCTGAGGGAAATCCCGACTTGAGAAACAGCCGCGTTCGGTGTCTAGGCTTCTCCAGTGGGGCGGCACTTGGAGCAACAGCCTCGTTCGCGCCCTCCGAGAGCTGTGAGACTGCTGCGAAGGCATGACCTTACATATCCATGGGCCATGTGGGTTTGCAAGGTGGTGCTACGAACTGCTAGGATTTAGATATGTGCTAACATCCTTTCCAGACCGAGCAAGGCGTCAGTTGCTTGACTTGCGATGATGGTCCATTTAGGGTTCTACAGGGCTATAGGGTGTGGTTACTCCCGTCGGAATCCTCTAGATATCCTGTGTTGTTTCACCCATAATGTGCCTTACGATGCTTCGGCCATGCTGGTGACTAGTCACTAGTCACTAGTGACAACAAGTGCAAGGTGGCAGAGTCTTGCCGATAGCATTCCGCTGGACCTTTCCCCAAAGAAGGCAGGACTCATTTTTACACTCCCTGCAATTCCACTTTCCATTGAGTTCTCCATTTGTTTCACCATTATTTCCGAGGATGCGGTCTGGTTGTATTGACTTGGCCGAAGAGATCCCAGAGAGCTTGTCTGGGAGCAACGCTGGAGAAGTTCACAGCAGAAAACTCAAACAGCCACCTGTCAGTGAGTGGTTCGTTACTGGCTCCAACGGGAAAGACCCTGATAGTATTGGCGTTGGCTCCAGCATTTGTGACTTTCCCTGGGGTTACAATCACGTCCCAGCATGTTTTACGTGCTTTCCCTTTCAAGAACTCCTGCCCCAAACTCACAAAAGCATTTGTTTTTGCATTTGCCTTTTGCTAGTTAGTTTGCTTCCATTATACCAGTACCTGCCTTCTTCTCTGAAGCTACTGTACTGGGTTATAATATACCCTAATTTACCCTAAAATACTACAGTATATTATAATATGCTATAATGGGTTATATAGAGATTATGAAACTACTATATGAGTCGAAAGCCAGGAACCTAAACCCTAAACCCTAAACTTGGGTACTGGCCCCCACTCATTAACAGTTGGATAGTATTTATGATTTACTTATACATAGCCCTTAATATGATCCCTAATATAGACTGTTAATGGGTGGGGGCAGGACCCAACCTAAACCCCAACCTAAGCCCTAAACCCTAGACCCCAAACAAGTAGTAGTTTCCATTTTCTTTTCCATTATCCCTATATAACCCCAATATACCCCCAAAAGTAAACTAATGAGTCGAAAGCCAGGAGCTCAGCCGCTGGCCTCCTCGCAGGCTTTGGCTTCGGGCGAAGCCGGCGAGCGAATACCGGTCGCGCGGATGGCGGCGAGGGTCCGCTCCGGGAACAGCCTTGGGGTAATATATTGGGATAATGGAGAATAACATGGAAACTACAAGGATTATAGGGGTTACATAAGGGTTATATACTGTAGGGATTATAAGGGTATATTGGGATTATATGGGGATAGTGGAAAAGAAAATGGAAACTACCATAATGGGCTATATAGGGTTTAGGGTTTCAGGATTTACCTGGACCCTCCAATGTAGTTCCTTTTTGGGTTTGGTAAGGTTTTTTGGTTATGAATCTTATCAGGACTACCAAAAAGGTATTACATTGGAGGGTCTAGGTAGGCACCCCAGTAGTACCCTTTTGCCCTTTTTAATTTGGGGTCTCCTTATAAAAGCTGATTGGTCACTGGGGAACCTAGAAACAGTTTGAGTGAATGTTAGGCCCTAACATTGACCCAGATTTAGGGTTCTAGGGTTTGGGTTTTAGGGTTAGGATTTAGGGTTTTAGGGTTCATGCTTTTAGTGGGTATGGGTTTTGCTACACAATTGTGGGGCGGGATTCTGTTTTTTCAATCGGTGACAGGGTCTAAGCAGGGGTTTCTGAAAGCTTTAGGGTTCAGAGTGTCTGTTGGGCTTTTGGGGCTTCAAGGGTTTGACCAAGAAACATGAAGAACGAGAATCGGCAAGGTCCTCCCTAAACCCTAAACCCTAAACCTTAAACCTTAAACCCTAAACCTTAAACCCTAGACCCTAAACCTTAAACCCTAAACCCTAAACCTTGAACCTTAAACCCCTAAACCCTAAACCCTAAACCTTGAACCTTAAACCCCTAAACCCTAAACCTTAAACCCTAAACCCTAAACCTTGAACCTTAAACCCCTAAACCCTAAACCCTAAACCTTGAAC